TTGACAATGAAGACGACATTTTCATATTTTCCAGGAATGTTCGAAAACAAGTTTTAAGCTAAATATTATTTAAAAAAAATAAAATCAAAACATATTATGAAAATTCAACTATATACAAATGTGGCGAAAGATAATCGATTACTATAGGTTGTAATATCTGAATAATTTGTTTGAAATTAAATAGATTTTTTTACGGTGTAAATCGTATGTTGCATCTTTCTGAATTTTTATGGACACTAGGTTCTTCGGTATTAGTCGTTTTTAACAATTTTCTCCTTATAGACGCAACAGATAGAAGTAAGATTAGTAGCGATCAAAAGCGCTTTTTATCGTATTAAGCCTATACCCCCTTTCATTTTTCGCGAACACTCCCTTTAAATAAAAGATAATTAGTCGATTGTGAGAGTTTAACTATTTTAAAGGTATGAATAAAAAGTTAACTTAATGGATTTTAGTAAAAAACTAAATGAATATAAATTAATACAAAATTTGTTTAATATTTGTTTTATTAGGTGCCAAAACAGGAACAACGAAAAGCAGGGAAATCCAGAAATGGAAAAACTAGGAGATATAAAATTAGCATTACAAATAAACTTAATTGGGCTTTAAAGAGACAAGTACAGTATTAATTAGATATTCATGTTTCTAATCTTGAAAACTGACTAATTTCAAGTGTGTGTTCTCATATATGTGATTTTTACATTTCCACTGCTGTAAAACTATGTATATGAATGGTCAACATTTATAATTTTTCAAACTAAAAAATATACATTACAAATTACTTTTTTTTACAGGGAAATATTCTCCATTTTTATGTGAAAAATATTGTCGTTTTCCTTACTAAACAAGTCTTAAATTCTAACCATTTACTCTATTGTTTCTGTAACAAAAAATTAATAAATTCATTCATGATCAGACATAGTTTTTCAGGGATAACATTGTCAATCTGAAATTCCACTCTAGAAATGGAGGCTCAGTTGAAATTAAGTCCTTTAAAACATTATAAAATGATTATATTAATATTTAATTAAAGGTGAACCTGTAAGCTCAGCACATTTTTGATTTGCATTTTCAACAGACTACACAGACTGCTTACCTCCTTTCACAGGGTGGGCTACGTTGACCCGGCACGACATGCTAAGTTTCTACGGCCACTTGTTGAGCATAATACCCATTCAGGGGTTAAGTTTTACAATTTTTAAATGAATACTCCAATTTTAAACATGAAACATAACATTTATGAATTCAGTCTTTTTTTTTGAAGATTTTGTGTTTCGTATCCAAAGGATCCTTAAATATACCTGAATACAGATGTTTGCTGATTGGTCGTGTACAGTACTTGTACACAATAGAACATGCTGTGGAAAATATCGCATATTTTAGCTGATAATCGATCTCTGTAACTCTCTTATCTCTGGTATTTTCATTCGTGTCAAATAGAAAAGGCACATTGGATTTAACGTGATTGATAAGTGCAAGTCCCACGAACTAATTAATACAATATGAACAATTATTTTCCAGAAAATGACGTCTTCTGATAATCAAATTCTTTGTTCTAACAAAACAACTTATAAACCATGAACAGTTGTTTCTTTAATTAATGATTAAAGGGACTGTATGCGTAATTTAAAAGACCCACCATGCAAATATGGCAATGCTCGATTCACAACAGTACCCTTAACAATTTTCTCTGATCAAGTATGAATTAGGTGCCCATGTTTTTTTTTTAAACTGGTTATTTTCATATGCGAGTTCTCTGCAAAAGGAACTAGCGCATTTCTTGCTTCTAAGAAGCGATGGAGGAAGAGTAAAATCAAACACTTTTTGATTCAGAAAAACGACGATATCTTCCACATTTTTGATCAGATTAAGGTTTCAAGGGTACCGTTGTAAATCGGACATTGCTATCTTTGCACGGCCGGTCACTTGAAATTATGCTTACAATTCTCTTCAAACTATAAGAGGTACGTAGTAACAGAGCTGAGATTTTAAAAGTTTAAACTCGAGTTAAACTTGGTCGTAGCGTCTACTTAGACCCAAATAAAGCAAAAGTCAAGACTCGGGTCTTCACAAGCTGACCATCGCAATTTTCGTTAAAACTATGATATTTGTATATTTAAAATCTCGGGAATTATTTATAATATCAAATTTGATTAACGGTATAAAATAAATAATAAACATACTATGAAAATAATGTACCTACGAAGAGTTCGAATTTTTAAAATTCACATCACCTTGTCACAGGCCACAGCTGACCTGTCGGCTACAGAGAGAAAGCTTTCTAAGCAGTCTCTCATTGGTCGAGTCAGAACCAATCCTCACTCAGGTTCTATCTAAGCCCAAGTCCGGGTTTTTCTCCGGTTTAAGCTTCAGATAATCAGATAATATTAAAAATAAACAACAAAACATTAATTTATTGAAAAGTTCCACGTAGGGAACAGGTAGGAAAACAAACTATGTGATACAATATGAAACATGGCCCCTTTCTTTACTTATAAAGTTTTTTAATGACCCCTCCAGAGTAGCAAGATGCATGGCTGCATTAAAAATCTACAAACAGTAGAAATCATCCTCAAATTAAAGCATGAAAAAATTATTATTATGCAACAAAATTCACGCTGAAAAGGAATGTGAATATGCTAATATTTTAAAAATTAACCAAACATGATTTATTATAGTTTGCAGTGTCAAATCAAATCTGATTTATTTTTAATATTCTAGAAACAACTGGAGGCTTATAATATTAAGTTTGATAGTTAATAGTTATATCGTTAGAACTGAAACCCGTTAATACAGATTGATAAGAATCTTAAAAATATTGGACCAAAATTGTACCAAAAATTAAGTAAATATTTTCTTTGAAAATTTGAATTTTTTTTTTTAAGTTTTAGGTTTTTTCTCTCGCAGAGATGGGGAATATAAATAAAGTCATCGATTATCTTTCGCCACATTTGTATGTAGTTTATATTTTATAATATTCTTTAATTAATTTTTTTACATTTACTTTTTTAGAAAACGTTTTAACCGGATTTCGAAAAATGTGAGTAAAAATGTGAGTGGTACGCGGCATTCTTAGATAGTTGCGCAAGCGACCAGAGAAATAATCAAATTCAAAACAAATTAATTAAAAAACATTATAAAATATAAACTATATACAAATGTGATATGGCGAAAGATAATCGATGACTATAGGTTGTAATATCTGAATGATTTGTTTGATTAGTATGAGACGTCTTTAACAATTTTCTCCTTATTGACGCCACAGATAGAAGTAAGATTAGTAGCGATCAAAAGCGCTTTTTTATCGCATTAAGCCTATACCCCCTTTCATTTTTCGCGAACGCTCCCTTTAAGAATATAAAACTAGCCCTGTATGATGTACGTAGTACACTTGTACGGGGGATTTTATACACAACTTTCTTAGGACTTTTTTTCCCGCAGACTTAAATTACTGAGTTCAAATTTCCCGAGACTTAGGACTTTTTTTCTAGGTTTTTCTTTTCCTCGGATTTAATTTTTACAGGACATTTTTTCCTGAGATCTTATTTCCTGAGACTTTACTGGCAGCCCCCATACTATTTTAGGAAAATAAGCCCCAGGAATCCTAAACAAGGACTTATTTCCAGTGACATTTTTTCCAAGGACTTGAGAAAATTCGGACTCCAAAGTTCCAAAGTTTTTACTTCCAAACATTTTTCCCGGGACTTTCTTACATATATTCTTATTTTTGCACCGTTTAGTTTGAGCTGAGTATAAAACCTTCTTATAATATATTGTTTTATTTTCTGTTCTCCATTTTCGGACCTACACAGAACCCTAACACAAATACTTTCATATGTCTTATACAATTTTTAATAGGTATCAATGCTAGTAATAAAATAGTTAACCATGACAATCTTTCATAACATAACTTTTCTGAGGTTGACTACTAGTTACGTTACCAAATAGTCGCTTTTAGATAGTTACCATTTTTTTACTTTAATGAAGTGGTACCAAACTGTCATTTTTGTGTAGTCATCAAATTGTCACTTATACAGTTAACAAATATTCACTTTTATGTTATACCAAATTTTCACTTAAATACAGTAACCAAATCAACACTTTTATAAAGATACCAATAGTTACTAAATTGTAGTTTTTATAAGGTTACTAAATTGCCATTTTTATGTAAATATTTAACTCACTTTTAATCAACAACACTAAAATAAAGTTACCAACCATTTGTATGCAGTTATAAAATTGTCATTACCAAATGCTACATTATGCAACTACTAAATTGTCACTTTCATGTAGTAATTTGTTTCAAATCTTTCATTCAATCGTGTACAATGTACAGTGTACAGTGTACATACTAGTAGAAAGAGGATATTATCTATATATTTCATATCAGGAATCACAATATAAATATTTGTATATTATATAAATTTATCACAAACTGGATATTAGAAATTACTTTTAAATAAATAATAAAAATGCATGCATTATCCAAATTTAAATTTTTAAAACTATCTTAAACCTAAGGGAAAAAACTACAATTTTTTTTGTTTCAGTAATTTAATTTTGAAAAATTCTTAACATTAACGAAAATTTTGCTCTTTAAAGATTAGAGATGATTGATTACAAAGGTAGGTAAAAACCACCAATTTAGTTAATTGAGATTTTAACCTTTCCAAATATTTAAACAAAATTATAAAAAAGAAATTTTTAATTTTTATGTAAAAAGTAGAATATAAATAAACAAATTTCTATTGGCTAGCTGATTAACATTTAACAAATCTAGTTTATAGTATTTATAAAAATATGTGTAATGTACATTACATCAATTTAGGGGATGCAAGTTCCAAACCGTGCCTTTGCCAAAACCCGGCACTGCGTGTAAAGTTTTATTTTAATCAATTACCCATTTCAACTCGAGTAACTATTTACAACATATTAGACACGACGATAAAACAATATTTTACATCATTTCAAAACTGGGAGCGGTCTTTCAAGTTTAATAACCCCCCTCCCCCCCACTAATTTTGGAACATAACAAGGCTTTCCATTTTCTCACAAATCACGGATTCGAATCATGGACGCGTTATGGAGCATACACCATCTATTTCTACGATCCAAAGTATTAACAAATTTTAAGATTCAAAACTAACACAATTACAGGATTGCATGATACACTGAAAGTATTTGTATCTTATTCTAAAATTTGTTTCCACATTATACGTAGAATTAAAGACGATTAAAAATTTCCTTCGTTTTAAAACCAACATTTTCCGCATTTTTCTTTTCAAAATAATTGTGAGACAATATGATATTAATGTTTGAATTTTTCAATTTTTATAAGTATTTATATTTTAAAATATCCGAACAGAACAAATTGACAAAAAGTTTTTTTGTTCATTATTCAAATTATACCGTGTACGAAAGACTCTGTTGTTACCAAAATTCAGTAAATTCTTGAAAGTTAACACTGGATCAAATCTGTGATATTTTCAAAATCTCGACGTGTCCCAATGCGTGTTTTGGGACCAAACTTCGCATTAGCTTAAATAATATGATATTTTCTAACATTAAGATAATTTTCAAAAACATGAAAATCATTCATTTGTAGGGGTTGAATATATAAATCTTAGTTATAAAAATATAGCGTTAATTATTCTGCATTAAAGTATACAGACGGGTTTCTTCTTCTCGACCTAAATTGAAATTTTTTAAGAAAAGGTAACTTTGCAGTTTGCACATTAGGCCCCAACCTGACACTCGCGTGTCAGGTCTAGGCGAAATCACGGTTTGGAACTTGCATCCCTTGTAGTGCAATGTATGTATGTAGTTATGTACAAAAACGGTACAGGAGATTTCTTATAAAATAAAAGTTGCGGGTTCGAAAATCTTCTAAAATTGCAAATATAGGATGCTAAATATTAAAACTTAAAACAAGTAAATCCGGAAATTTAGAGAATCCATGAGAAAATATAATATTTCTTTATCACACAATAAGGACCATAGTATCTCAAACACTTCATCTCTAGAATTCCAACTCAGTATAACTAGCAAAACAGGGAATTAAAATCCATAAATCCACGAAGTTTTAAGGTTTAGTCTCGTCCGACAACTTTTCCCAATCGTCCGAAGCACTGCTGTCCTTTTTGGCGTGGGATTTTGTCGTCTTCAGTTCTTTCTCATACTCAGCCAACAGTTTGTCCTGTACTTCCTCTGAAATTTTCAAAATCAAATTCAAAATCTAATCCCAACCCAAATGACAAATCAAAAATCACAAATCAAAAATCACAAATCAAAATTAAATTAAAAATCAGATCCCAACCCAAATAACGGATTTAATCACAAGTCATCAGATGTGTCGAAATCATAAACTTTCTTTATTTTGATTCCCAGAATTGGAAAATTAACTGTTGACAAAATATATTTAATTTAATAACCTAAAAACAGACATAAGCTGTGATTTCAAAAAGTAATTTTTTTTACGCGTTTACATAACTAGTATAATTGTTACTCCATAATTCTAGAAATTAGATAATCGTCGATCTTGGTAAATATGTAAAAATTCTAGCCTTCCCAGTCCTAACTATCCATCCATAAATTGCCTGTCTGTATTCCATAAACGTCAAAACGGTTGAACCGATCGGGCTTAACTTTTTCAGGCACCGCTCAAAAACCCAAGGTAGGTTTAATGTTTATGAAGGGTTACAAATTTTGACCAGATCTTGTCCCGAAGGGATGAAAAGAGATCTCGTCCCAAAGGGATGAAAAGAGATCTTGTCCCGAAGGGATGAAAAGAGATCTTGTCCCGAAGGGGTGGTTCTTAATTTTTTTTAGCTCTGTCCCCTTGGGGTTGAAAAGGGGCGGCCGTGGGTAGTTGATTTTTAAAATATATATTTACCCCTATACCTATTTACCTGGAATGGAAACCTCTTCCTCATCGTCATCCCAGTTAATATCCGCCTCATCCTCCGCCTTAGCTGTCCTCTCCGCCCTCTGTTTCAAGACCTGCCTCTTCATCTCCTGCTTCTCTATCAGGTGAACCTGAAGGTAAAACTCTTAAATCTAAATCTGGGCTATGCCAGTTCCTCCTTAAATAGCCATACACAATCATTTCGTAAATATAACTTTGTGAAATTCCTGTATATTCCATGAAATGGAATGAAAGAGACTATAGTTGCAATTCTAAAGGACCCTCCATTTAAAGTGGCGTATCCGATTTTAACCAGCACCCTTCCAATTCAATTCAAGAATCCAGGATTGTCTAAACACTCCTGGATCAAGCAAATAGACCTTAAACTTTAAGGGTTGGTGCTAATGAGGTCTATGAATAATGGTAAATATATTCGACAAATGAAAAAAATACAATTTTTGTTTACGACTTGCGACCTGAATTTTTCAACTATTTTTCAAGGGACAATAGATTCTTAAAAGCTTCAACAAGTTTGAAACATTTCATTTACAATAATAAAAAACGTTGTACCTTATAAAAATATCTTGCCCAAAAATGTTTATGCGAGACTTCGCCAGGAACTAAGTTGCTATACATTTTCCGTACTGCAGAGTTGTTAATCATCAATTCGGATATTTCGCCTAGAAATATAAGATAATTTTATTAGCTTCCACACTAATTGAGAGGAAAATAAAAAATATCTCAAATGTCTGATCATTAAAAATTAAAATCGATAATAAATAGTAATTGCGAACCATAGAATTTGAGATTCCAATTTAATATCAAGAGAATAATAAAGAGGCCCTGGGAACCCTGATAAAATCATTGATTTAAGAGAAGAAAGCAAACTTGACAATATTTAGAAAGCTTTCAGAGGATTTAACAACCTAGTTCAAAAATTCCCTACAAAATATGAAGGATTTATTTTTAGGATATTTAACATAATTCTCAACATTTATTTTTTTGTCCAGTTAAGCGGACAAACACATAAAAATTGAAACTCAGCACAGAGCATTTGGAAGAAAAGATTTTTTTCAAGGGGGGGGGAGTGAAATATATTTTAAACAAAATAAAAAAAAATTTATTTGGTAAAAATAAACCGTAACTTGGTTAAATTGATTTTTAAGTCAGATGACGCACTAAACAAGATTTTCCACTCAAAACTAAAAATAATGTTAAATTGATTCAGAAAAAGTAAATTTTAAAATTAATTGATTTTAAAGCATTCGCGTTTATACAGCAGCAATACTGTTGGACAAAACTTTTCCTTACATTCTTGTTAATAACAATATTGGGATCAATATTTCTTAATGCTGTGAACTATTTGCATCATGCTGCCAATTACTCTGGAAGCATCATAAAACATAAATTTTGTCGATTTATTTGTCTCAAACAAAAAAATCCGCATTTTGAGATGTTATAAAGTTACATTCTTACTTAGGGTCCATCGTTAATGGATAAAAACATGGCTCCATGTTGAAATTAACAAATTTGACTTTTTGGTCAAACCCAATTTCGTGAACCAATTTATTATTTTTTATCAAAATTTCCATGCAAAGTTTATTAATTTCTCCAGTAGGGCTAATTTTCTTTTCTGAGGTTAGGTAAGTCACCACAAAAAATAGGACCTAATGATCATTGATCAGTTCGTCCGTTTCTACGTTTATATCTGGAACAAACTATGATTTAGGTTTACCTTGTCTTTTGTCTAAGTCTAGTCCTGCTAGCCAAGAAGTCCAATCTTCACTTAGTCCATCCTTGGGATCAGGATCCTGAAAGCGATTTTTTAATATTTATTAGATAGTCTAGGAGGTACTCATTTTTAAAGAGACAGATAAAATGGGGACTGAACAAAAATATTCAATTTGATATCGGAACTTTTGTGTTCTAAATCTGAGGATCAAGCATTGATCTCCCCATACCTTTTTTTGATTTGGTTAAATAATGTGGGGAGAAAAAGCTTAAACAGATAAAACAAATGATGTACACCGTATTCTTCCCAATAATATTATTCAATAAGCCCGCACAGACTTGATCATATTTAACTGTTAGGTATTTTTTCTCTTAACAATAATAATATCAAGAAACAAATTCTGAACACAAGCAGACGAAATATCTACGAAATACCGCTTTGCTACAGTGAGAACCAGAAAACTTTGGAATTGGTAGACGACTTTTAGACTCAAGTTCCGACTTGCTTTAATGTAGTCTTCCTATTCCACGGTTTTCTGGTTATCACTGTAGTAAGCATCACCATTCACCGTTCACCATTCACCATTCACCATTCACCATTCACCATACTAACTCAAAAAATAATTTACAAAGACCATATCAAAGTCATAACAGAAATCCATCACACAAATCATGTATACATATGAGTAATTTGTGTGAAGAAAGCCTGAATTCTATTTGTCTCCATGCATAACTACTACACCTAAGTCTTGTAATATCTTCAGCTTTTAAATGTTACATAATACTTCAACAATTGATTCTCCTTACTTTTACAATTAATAAATGTATAGTTATAACTTAGTAGATTTCTTTTATTTCATTATGGATTTCCATTTTCGTCACTTATCTAACCTGTGAATATGTGGCGAGGTCAATTGCTAGTGCGTGAAGCTGAGCTTGTAGTCGGTCAAGTATAATTGGTTCAGAGTTTGCTCCAACTAGTAGAGAATCTGCAGGTAGATCGTCTTCACTCAACATCTGGTTTGCATATCCTAATCAACGAGGTTCATTCATATTTTATATTTTTATTCAACTACAAAGCATGATATATTACATATAAGCAATCACAATTTACTATGCAGTTTGGAGCCGCCTAACCAGGGTAGGTTGTTTTGAGTGATTGGTCCTAAGTTTATTAACGATAATGAGTATAATTGGTTACACACATCAAATTATGTTTTTGGCTAGGTAAGGAGTTGATTGGAAAGAAGGAGATTGTCAGGTGATCTGTGGCAGGGTGAGATCAGGGGGATTTATAAAGAGATAAATTAAAATACAGTGTATTAAGGAGGTGGATACACAAACACAAATAAGCTAATAAAGTTTCAGTTTTTTATATAAAATCTACTCATATGATATAAAACTAGGGTTTTCGCATTAAAACCTCTCATAATTCTCAAGATAAATATTGATTGCTCTTTGCTTAAATATTTTTGCAGATTTAGTTTCTAAAAGGTCAATTTACAATTTCAATCAACAATTTCGGAAATATTGCGGACCGAAAGCTTTCTAGATTTTTGTTTAAAACCCGTTCTAATTCATATGATTTTGTTCTATTCGGTTCAGCTAGAGGCTTAAACATAATTGGAAGGAAAATAAATGGAAGGTATCCATGCATAAATGTCAGAACACTAAGTTTGTATGTATCATCAAGATTAAGAACTTTCAGTTTTGAAAATAATTGATTTGAATGTGCCTTGAAAGTACTATTTTTAACCACTCTGATTGCCTTTTTTTTGCAAAGATCAATTTTTATAGTTTAAGAGTAACACTTCCATATTCAATATGAGGCCTTACAAGAGAGTTATAAACAAGTAGACGAATGTTTAATGGTAAGATATTCTTAATTTGAGACAAAGCAAAGATTGAGCAAGCAATTTTGTTCGAGATGTGTTCAATTTAAAATCCAGTTTAAAAATTCGTCAAGTTGAAGTCCAACAAATTGAAATATTTGTTCACACAGTCACTACCAATTCTTTCGTACAACTGTTGGGGTCAAAGTGCAGATTTTTATATCTAAATACTCTAAACTTTGTTTTTGAGACATTTAGTTTAGTGTCAAACGATTTAATAGAAACCATTTTGCTGCTTTTTTTAGTTCAGTGTTTGCATAAAAGCAGTGTTAGGAGATGACTTTAAAACAACAGTATCATCTGCAAAGAGGCTGGTATAAAAAGATGTTGCAAGGGGCAAATTGTTTATATAAAGAAGAAACAGCAGGGGCCTTTGACCAGATGTTAAAAATAAAATCCATTATGGTAGGAAACAGTAATTTCTTTCTATCATCTGGTTAGTTTATCCTACCATGATGAATTTTATTGTTAATATCTGGTTAGTTTATCCTACCATAATGGATTTTATTTCTAACATCTGGTTATTTTATCCTACCAAAATGGATTTATCTCTTACATCTGGTTAGTTTATCCTACCATAATGGATTTATTTCTAACATATGGTTAGTTTATCCTACTATAATGAATTTTATTTCTAACATCTGGTTAGTTTATCCTACCATAATGGATTTTATTTCTAAAATCTGGTTAGTTTATCCTACCGTAATGAATTTATTTCTAACATCTGGTTGTTAGATCATCCTACCATAATGGATTTATTTTTAACATCTGGTTTGTTTATCCTACCAACATGGATTTATTTCTAACATTTGGTTAGTTTATCCTACCAGGCTACCATAATGGATTTTATTGTTAACATCTAGTTAGATTACCCCACCATTATGGATTTTATTCTTAACATCTAGTTAGTGTATCCTACCATAATATATTATATTCCTAAAAATGAAAATAAAGGATATTTACTGGTAGGCTTACTCCACCATTTTCATAAATATTTGACAACTTTCTTTTTTCATTTTCCTTTAAAAATCATTCTTATTATTCTCGAAAAAAAGTTTTTTTTTGAAAAAATGAAATCTTTCTTTTGTTCAGTAAGTACAGAATAATTGGAAAATTGTGTAAGAGTAGGCGTCTTATAATCTTCATGTTTTTTTCTCCTCCAATTTCTTATTTATTTTTAATTTGTACTACTTTATTTTGACCCGGATCGAATGAAAAAATGGACATTGAAAGGATTTTTTTTGTCTTTTTTATTACTTTTTCTCTAAAAATTAATTTATTTCCCCAGTTCAGCGAAGAAAACTAATTGAAAAAAATACACCCCTGCGGCCTGAGCTTCAGTTACTTTTTATATATGCTTTTTGCTTAATAAAGGGCTAGAAAGGAGAAACAAAAGTACTTATTGTTTCGTGAGATTTTTGTATTATCTTGAATTATTCTTAAAAATTATAGATGATGTGGGAACTCTCTCGAATTGAAATTTAGTTTTTCTTTGACTGCTCAGTTTTATTTCCCATAATACATTTGCCAAAATTACACTTACCACAATTTCTTTGCTATAAGTAACACATCCCATAAATTACACTTGTCATAAATCAAATTAAATATAATTAGACCATAAACATCGAACATTTCCAAAACTTCACTTTACTGGTTTTAACCAGTTTGTAAACCAGGTGGATATTTTCATGAGAAATTTAACGCGTTTATTTATATAATGTCTTTTTTGTTAAATAAGAAACGTATAGCAAAAAAAATTATGACAAGTTATTTCAATCTCATCTAATCATCTAGAGATTTCCCCTAATCTGTCCAAACAATGGTTTCTAACCTGATGCCATGTTCCAGAAAGAAGAAACAGATTTGGTTACTCCATCCAGAGCAGCCTCAGTCATCTCATCTGTAACCTCGTCAAGCTCCTGGGTCAATCAATCAATCAATCAATAAATCAATAAATCAATCAATCAATCAATCAATCAATCAATCAATAAATCAATCAATCAGTAATCAACATAATCAGTAAATCAACCTAATCAGTAATCAACCTTATCACTGAGCCCCTTATCAGAAATCAACCATAACAGAAATCAACCTAATCAGTAATAAACCTAATCAACCTGACCAGAAATTCACATAATTAAACATCAACCTAACCAGTGATCCACCTAATCACATATCAACCTATTCAGTATTCAACCTAACCAATTATCACACAAATAATAATCAATCTAATCAGTAATCAACCTAATCAGTAATCAACCTTAATCAGTCATCAACATAACCAGTAATCAACCTGATCAATAATCAGCCTGGTCACTTAAAATCATGATTTTTTTTCTTCAGTCCAACTAGTATAGAATAAACCAAGGTGATATAGAATACAAAGTGGGGGCGATAGGATTTGCGTATAAATGTCTGATGTATTTGTACTGCTGAGGAACAAGTTTCTAGTAGATTTTATGTTAACAAACATCAGCTAGTAAACAGTTAATCTCGGTGTAAGGCAGTGGTCTACACGGATGGTTGAAGGTAATATATCTAAAACGACCAAGCTAGTATAACGCTTGATTCACTTCTAAAAGAGGTTTCAGAGAGAATGGGTCCCCAGGGTGCCAGCGTGCACCGGCCCCACGCTTAAAATGTAAAATGTAAAATGCTAAATGGACATTAATTAATTAATCAATTAAACTCTGAAGTGAACCAAGCATAGTTTAGCTGTATTAGTTTTATTACTAAGTGTAAAGGAACTAGAAGGGGGATGACCCAGGCAATATTACCATACCCCGCTCTAGAAAGTTTGAGTTTTTATGCATCTTAAGATTCAAGATTTTTAGAGAAATATTTCAAACCCCAAAATTATTTGAATAAATTAAAATAATTATCGTAGTCTTTCTAGATTCAAAAATGTTTTATCCTGAACTTATGCCCTCACTGTTTTTAAAAGCAGTAATCCGCAAATACTTTTTTGGAGAAACGCCAATTAAACTTAATTAAATTTCAATATGAGAAACATTGATAGTTCATTCATTCTTAATCAGACACAGCTATTAAGGTACCATTGAGAATCAGGTGTGCCATATCATACATAAAACTTCACTTAAAATTGCGTTTACAGTCCCGAATTGAGTATCCACTGTACCGCTTTTAATTTCTAATATTTTAGACGTTGCTTCTATACCACCTTGGAAAAAATAATAAAAAAGTATTTAAAAAGTGTAGATAAAATTTTCCTCATTTAAGTCTGAAACCCCACGTTGGGCACAACGTGTTCGCACTTTTTTATCCCACATGGATGCCATGTGGGATAATCCGGGAAAAAATTATTTTATTTAGTTAATGTCAGCAGTGTTTTCCTTGAAATTGACAAGTCTCCGGATTATTAAATCTATGTTGGACAGAAAACATCGTTGCACAAATTGGAAAATATAATATATGAACAAATTTGCTTAGAGACTGGGAAATTGATCTTATCCGGAACAAGATACCCATTGACATCACACGATTGTTGACCTCGTTGACCTCAACATCAATTTCAATCGGACGCAAGACATGGATCTGTCATTACAAAACCGGTGTCACGTTATTGAGTGTCCAGGCGTGAGATCTTGTCCGGGTACTGTATTTCGGTCTTAAACAATACACATTTAAAATATCTATATATATTAGATAAATTTGTTTACATTTTAAACGACTAATATTTACATAATGTTTGCATGTAATTCATTTAGGTTTCTTTAAGAATAAGACGACATTCAAGACGAAATATCGTTTTTGGTGCAAATTTTTTAGTATTGCTACATTTAAAAACTAATCAAACTGATACAAATAAGAATTTGTTAATACACAAGCTGTCAAGCAGATATTGAAAGGTCTATATTTCACTTTTACCCGTCTTTTAGTCACGTGTTAGTTCGATAGAAAACACAAGTCCATTCAAAAACCTTACCATAAACCAATAGAAAAACAACTAATTTTTACTTATTCTATCATTTAAATCACCGGATACTTCATCTTTCTACTGCTAAAAGCAGCTAATGCCGACCCTACATAACTACAAGCAAGCATTCTGAAGGTCGCAATCAATCAATGAATAATCGGAAATAAACGATTGTAAAAACTTAGATGCACAGCCTTTTCTGAAGTGGGGTTTACATGTAGAATATCATTTAATAAACTTTTCGCGGATATGACCAAGTGAAAAAAATTATGGGGCCTGATGAAAAGCCTGTGGAAGAAACAGTCCATCGCCGAAGAAACTTTTTATAAAATTAAGTCTATATATATATCCCATTAGAAATAAATTTATAATTCTTGAAAAACAATTTAATAATGCTTTAAATAATTTTCTCCAAATAAAGCTTGTAAATTTGGATTCTGATTAAGACTATATCCCAGTAGCATTAAACTTAGAATTCTTTAAAAAGATTTTAAATGCTAAAAATAATAAAAAAAATCTCTCCAAATTTAGTTTGATACTAGATTCTGATAAGACAATGTTAAATCATCACAGAAACTACTAAAATATCTCACGTGGAATGTTTTTTGTAAAATCTAAAAAACATCCATTTTTCTCTTAACTCAAACCTCACGATTTTCCTCATACCAAACGATAGGAGTACTGATTTAGAATGATTGGAGGGGAAAAAGGAAAACTAGGAATTAAAAGGAAAATTTTCATTTTGTTTGATACTTTTAACCCAAAAGTTCATATATTTTCATATAAATATCATTTAATTTCCCAAATTCAACGAATAATTAACCCTTAACATATTTTTTATCCCCCATCCCCTGTATTATTTAATTAGCTAAATAAGGGGGAAAATAAAGGATTTTAGGGGAAAAAATTAAATTTTTTGTTTGTAATGTTTAAGTAGGATCTGCCTGTTTATGTCAAATTTTTTTTTTTTACCACATCATCAAAATTTTGAACCCCTGAATAAATCCTCCCATATGATCTATTCTTACCTTTATAGTATTCCTTAGAGCCCCTGTGGCCCCTGCAATTTTACTGGAAGCCCCTCCTACATAGGGTAGAATTGGAGTTGCAGCATTTTTCACACTCTCGCGCACCTGAACACTCAATTGAAGAATTCTATGATAATGTGAAGCTTCAGGTAAGGACTCATGTAACTGAGACGCCAAACTATTACATACATAAAGCGTATAAAGGATTATAGGAATGTTAAAAATGGACCATCAGGTTTCAAGTCAAAACACCTAAACTTTTTCTTTGGATTATTTTTATATGCAGGCAACTAAGTTATATTATCATTTTTCAGAAAATGCCACCTTGGGAATTTTTAAGAAATTGTAGATATGAAGTGCATTCACAGGTCACTTCAAGACTTTAATCTGCTTCTTCGGGGGTTTTTACGATATTTTTTGAACAGTATATGACATGGTCTCCAAATTTTATTATTTTCCTTTAACAGTCATGAAACTTGTTGTAGGTAAAAATCAAACCCCTAAGTCAACTGCCTGACTGTCAAAATGCGGCCCGAATACATTTTTTTTGATGTAATTTTTACTGATTTTACTTCAAAGTCTTTTTTAGGCCGCAATTGGTCAATTTTACAGTTCACGTAAGAGCTAAGGCTTTGATTTTTTTGCTAAAACATGTCTTATGACTGTTAAGGAAAATTCACAAAATTTGGGGACCCTGCCATCAACGGTTCTAAAAATATCGCCAAAAAAAACGCAGAATAATCTTGATTAATCTTTGACCCTACAGTTACGGTTGAGTTTAGACTTAAAAATGCGCTTTATTTTTAAATTTCTTTAAAATGGATTTAATTAAAATTCCCTAGGTGGCATTTTCCAAAAATTTGAATTATAACTCAGAAGCCTGCAGTGCATATTAATATATTCCGAGAAAAAATTATGTGTTTTGACTTTAATCCTGATGGTTCATTTTCAGCAGTGAGGAAATGAAAAAAAAGTGATGGCAGATTTTTGGAATTATCATCTAACTAGCTTTTCTCTTGACATTATTTTGATATTGTTTAGAATTGAATCTCAGTTTTAAATTCTTTGATTACAGATTTTAGAGATTTATGTTTTCTTGAAAAACTTCCTTTTGATGTCTAATTTTTCATGTTTTACCCCAATTATGTCCCTAATTCTTTACTCTACTCACTACTTTTGAGAGAAAAAAATCAAGATTTTCAAAATCCTGAAAACGGATATTCAGAGCATACGTTCCTCAAGTTAACATTGTATTATATATCTTCTGAAAAACTGTAGTTAAAAACGTTCTTATAAAAGTTTTGGTATAAATGAAAGCTTGAAAGTTTTAGTTATGATATCACACGATCTTACTGTCAAATCAGTTCAAACTGAGAGTAAGAGAAATTTGGGTTGATTTTAGGAGACGGGGGGCTTCTTAAGCCATATAAAGCAAAAGTTAATCTAAAAATTAATAAAATATCTTCTACAGACAAAGAAAAAAAAATTGCAATCCACCACTTTTCAAGCTTTCACTCGGGAGTAAAAATAATACGTAGTTCCAATCTACCACCACCTGTTTTTACCTCGTTGAGATCTCCAGAAACAGCTTGAACCACCTCCATGGATTTACTCTTCACCATCTTGGTAGCCCCAGATGTCGCCTCAATTAGTTTTTATTTTAGACTTTTAAGAGATTTTCGTTATCGTAATTTAAAAGTGACCCTCCAATCTAAGAGAGGTGGTGTGCCTAATTCACAACAGTACCGTTAAAACCTTAATCTAATTCATATCTGTGCAATTTTCTGCACAAGAACATAGAAAAATGTACAGTAGTGAACAATGTCCCGCGTGTACAATAAACAGTAGGGAGCAATGTCCCGTGTATACAATGTACAGTAGTAAAATATGTTCATCGTGTACAATGAACAGTAGTGAACAATGTCCCGTGTGTACAATGAACAGTAGTGACCAATGTCCCGTGTGTACAATGTACAGTAGTGAACAATGTCCCGTATGTATAATGTATAGTAGTGAACAATGTCCCGTGTGTACAATTTACAGTAGTGAACAATGTCCAGTGTGTACAATGTCCCGTGTGCACAATTTCCCTTGTGTAAAATGAACAGTAGTGAACAATGTCCCGTATGTACAATGAAAAGTAGTGAACAATGTCCCGTATGTACAATGAACAGTAGTGAACAATGTCCCGTATGTACAATGAACAGTAGATATCAATGTCCCGTATGTACAATGAAAACAATGTCCCGTGTGTAAAATGTCCCTTGTGTACAATGCACAGTAGTTAACAATGTCCTGTATGTACAATGAACAGTAGTGAACAATATCCCGTGTGTACAATGTACAAAGTACAATCAATGTACATTGTTAAACGAGTACATAGTACAATTTGTACTTCATGTTTAGGGATACGTATATATCGTGTAGTACAAATTATTACGTATATATACTTGATTGAAAGTATTTCACAATGTTTACATGTAAAAACTATGTTAGGTAGCAGATGTGTGTCTTTCTATGAGCCTATTGAAGCAAGTTCTAGATTTCTTTCTAATTTATGTAAAAATGCCCTTAACACAGTTCTTGGCAGAAATTTATTTTCTATTGCAAATGATTGTTCTGTAAATCCTCCGATCTTAGTAAAATGTTAGTTAAGAAACAAATGAAATATTTTGATGTCCCATTGGAACATGCATGGAAAGTTCCGGTTTTACAAGAACTTTTAAATACAAGAATGAATATTTTATATGTTGATGGATTCGATGATTACGTAATAACTGAAATGATAAACATGCTATGTAACGAGTAATGATCAATGTCGACTATTTATGAATAATTTTGCAAATTTTTCTTTTTTCTTTTGGAAACCTGTATTTTCAAAAATTTATTTGAACAAATTTAAACTACACCATTTATATATATCTATTTATATATTTATATATCTTTGTGTGTGAATAAATCTTTATGATAAAAATAATATCGAGTAGTACAAATTATTACGTATATATCGAGTAGTACAAATTATTACGTTACTACACAATGTTTTTCCCACTGCACAATAGAAATCATATTAGAGAAAATTAATAACATTTCATAGTATAATCACAAACCTTATTAAATATACAAATTTGTTTGTTAATTTGGCTTGTTAAAATATGTTTTTGAAGGATGGATACGTGTTTTCAATTATTTAATATTACAAATCTTTCGATAACAATATTAAACAGATTTCGACTGAGCTGAGGGGAAAAAATTACCATTTCTTGAAACAATAAGTTAGAAATTTTCCGTACTTAAAAGGGACTGTAAGCGAAACTTAAAGTGACCTTCCATGCAAAGATGGCAATGCGGGCGCAACGTTACCCTTGAACCCTTTAAGTGATCAATTATTCAAAAGCTATTGCCTTTTGATTATTAGCGTTTAATTTTGAGGATTCATATATATTTTCCTACAGTAGAGATGCAAAAGCGACTTTTGTATCTAGTACGTACTTAATCAGACAAATTGTTAAAGGGTAAATTGCCATTTTTGAGTGTATGTCACTTAAAATTACATTTTCAGTCCCTTGAGTGTATTTCTTCACTTACTATATCTTGATCCTTGACTAATAAATATTACTAATATTATCTCAAGCCCTTTCCTTCCACCTGTTTGAAACAACACTTGTTAAATCTAACTTCTTCTTTTACTTCTACAATGCATCATCAAGTCCCCCTCCCCCTCTCCCCATTTACTTAATTCTAAATAACCCGGTATTCATGGAGTTGCAAGCCCCTCTTTAAATGGATAATTAAAACCCAAATCTCGCTTTCCCCCGATAAAATCCTAAACGTGTCGAACATATGCCTGAAAAAAAAAATTGAAGTGAGGGGGAAGGAAATGATTTTCTGAGAAAAAAATTGTCCCTGAAATGAGAATTCAACATTTTATAAATTATATTTGTCTGATAAACCCTCACCTGGGACACTTTCGACACAGCTGCTGATAATCCAGCTTCTAACATGTGGGGCTGTTGTACAGCTTGGGATATATATGTACCCCATCCTCCAAACCAGGTCCCTTCCTGAATACACATGTACTGTACTGTACAGCTTGGGATATATATATGTACCCCATCCTCCAAACCAGGTCCCTTCCTGAATACACATGTACTCTACTGTACAGCTTGGGATATATATGTACCCCATCCTCCAAACCAGGTCCCTTCCTGAATACACATGTACTGTACTGCACAGCTTGGTATATATTTATGTACCCCAACCTCCAAAACAAGTCAGTCCCTTCTTGAATACTTATGTACCGTACTATACAGCTTGGGATATATATGAACCCCAACCTCCAGACCAGGTCCCATTCTGAATAAACATGAACTGTACTGTACTGTAAAGCTATGGGTATATCCTCAAATCCAGCTCCCATCCTGAATACATGTACTGAACTGTACAGCTTATTACCCTTTTTGATACTATTTACCCCAAAAAATCATTTAGTTCCTAAGAGGGGTGGAAAGGAAAAATAAAGGTTTAAGAAAGTATTTTCCCGTGACTTAGAAATATTTATAACCCATGCTGGATTACGGGATCCAACCACCAGAGAACTTTCTCATTATTCATAAGGACATGGCTGCCGAAAGGAAGTTTTAAATGAGAAGCAGAATAAAAAAAACTTTATCAACCCTTGATAATTTTTAAAGAGAAATCTTTTGTATGCGTTTACTGCCATTTATTATTCAACTTTACTTCGTTTTAGATAAAAATTGATAAAGGAGACAAAGCAATCTATAAAATTTAGCTTGTCTGTCTGTCTGTTTGTTTTTTCTATCAAAAAAAAACACCAAAAGGGCTGAACCGATCGGGCCCAAATTTTGAGTGGGACCTCTGACCCCAGGAAAGGTTTATGAATGATCAAAATTTTCAAAATATAAATTTTACATTTTGTAAAATTATGAAAATAAGCAAAAAAATATTATAAAATCCGCAAACTTTTTTGTTTTGTTTTATACTGTTCAAAGAGAAGATGCTCACAGATAAAGCCACGATTAAAAGTTAAAATAGAAGATGGGCGCGAAGCTAAAAGCCTAGTTTAATAAAAAAAAGCAATCGCCAACTTTTAGATTGATACATTTTTGATTAACTTTAAATCTTTGTAATTGTAATTATCATCTTTATTCAATCTTTAGATAACACACTTATAGTTGACGATTAAGCTTTATTAACTTAATACTAAATTTTAACGTAATGCTAAACCTTCAGAAATTACGCACTAACGATATTTTTATTTTTCATAAACTAACTATCAGTCATGAAATGTGGACTAAGCGTCTAACTCGTAATAATATGACAAGATCATATTTGAAAAAGATCATATCTGAAAACAGAGAAAGATAATATTTCCTAAACCTAAGTGCAAAGTTCGGTTGAATACGCTTAGATTAAAAACTGAGAATAATGTGATATCTTGCTGGATTCTTTAAAATAAACAAATTATATTTAATAACTATAATTTCATTTTTAAATGAAAGTATCAAATTCCAAACATACTGGGGCTCAAGGTAGATCATTTAAAATTTTATAACGCAATGCCTTCAAAATGCAGGTAAAAAAGTAATCTGAACCCACCCCAAAAGATTCATGATAACAATCAAACTTCTTCAGAATATAACGACGGTCAAATATTTCTACTTAAAAGTTTTTAATCTATGATAATTGTAGTAGTGTTATATGAAGTACACATTAATTTCGACTCAATAGAAAAATAGAAAATACATATTTTATATAAAAACTAAAAAGTATGATAAAGCAGGAAAATACCGGTAAATTTTGGAAAATCATTCTCTTTTCGAAACCCTTAAACCGACCCAAAAGACCAATTTTGTCTTGTAAAATAATTGATATAACCATGAAATCAAGCCAACACTTAGGTTTTCTCTTTTGATCCAAATAAGGTTTTAAAATAAAATATACCTTCGTTAAATTTCGATGATGTTTGAAATGAAAGGATATTTTTTAAGGAATCCGACTGCAGAAGGGGGGGGGGGGGGAAAAATTCTGAAAAGTGTTTCCCCCAGAAATGGACTGGTAAGAATACAGTAGAAAAGCCGATTCACTTTAAAAGTTCAACCCACCGTAAATCCGCAAGGAATGCAGAACCGCAATTAAAAAAACAGAAAAAAGGAATCTCTTATTTTTACTTTAACAGTTCATTTTTAAACAGATCATTTGAAGTTACATCCGATAGTCCCTTTAACAAACCTTTGCAACAACTTTATCATGATCATCTTCACCAGATGCAGCAGAAAGTTCACCAGCAGCACCTGGTTTAGTGTCATCTTTAGTATCATCTTCTTCAACCTGAAATATATAATTTTTACTCTCAAACCTTAAATCTTAACCGTTAAAAGAAGATATATTATAAAAAATATCCCGATCACTAAACGGTTTTAAAAATTAAGTAAATCTTTAAGAAATGTTCATGATCATTTATGGGACCATTTTAATCCTTTGCGGATCCAGGATCCGGATCCTGGATCCAGGATCCGGATCCGGATCAAAATAAATTGGATCCTAAGCACTTCTGTTACACCGCTCTGTAACTCGAACATATATCGAATTAATTGCTTGATGAAATGGTTTGGCAAAGAAAGAAACTTGTTGCCGAGAATCAAGAAAATAAGAACAGATTCTTAAAATAGCAATTAGAACCACAAAGAACTGAACAACATGTTTTCATATTTTAAAATAACTTCTAAATTGTTCTGTTTTCTAAAAGCAAAAATAGAAATCTGACAATTTCCCCGACGTCATTGTTTTCTTCTCAAGAGGGATATCCACAAAGTATCAACAACAGAAATGATTTTGATCTCATGGGTGTATATTTTATCTCATGGGTGTATATTTGATCTCATGGGTGTATATTTTATCTCATGGGTGTATATTTTATCTCATGGGTGTATATTTTATCTCATGGGTGTATATTTTATCTCATGGGTGTATATTTTATCTCATGGGTGTATATTTTATNCAATTTCCCCGACGTCATTGTTTTCTTCTCAAGAGGGATATCCACAAAGTATCAACAACAGAAATGATTTTTATCTCATGGGTGTATATTTTAAAGAATTACAGAAATAATATTTGATGAACTGCATGGGATCAATAAAAAAATTAAAATAAGACGAAAACAGTCAGTTTATTTATTCTTTTTGAAACATTTTATCTAAAATCATTTATTTGCCCCAATTCAGTGAGAAAAAATGTACGTTTCGCGCAACCAAATTTGACAAGAAAAAAAGATTTTCTATAAAGAGGGGGCGATTTATTCAGGAAAATATAAACCCCTGTCCTTTCTTCAACTATGGTTCCATGCAGCTTAAAACTTTGTCTTATTATTTAATTTATAATCAAACCAGTGTTCACTGTTCAGACAATTCTCACAACCCTTCTATCATTTCTATCATTAGGCGAGATAAAATGCGTCAATATAATACGTTGAAATTAAGTCAACTTGTGAAAAAAAAAAATATTGCGATTATATCATAATACGATCAGAATTTAGTTCAATTTCTTATCGAAACTTTATTCAATGTGCCAAGACAAAGTTACATAATAAAAGAGACTTCAAGGACGACCTATAACTACAGGGACACAATCTGAAGATTTGACAGGATTTGGTTAAATGGGTTAAATCATGGGGGCTGAAACTAAACTACCTGGCTGTGTGTTTTAGCCTGAGTGTACGATTAAGACAGCTTACTGATATAGGATATTAAGAGATTATGGCCTATTCATAAAGTACAAATATCAAATATGCAGTACGCTTTAGGAGTACAAGTGTATGGGGAGTTTTTGTAAACTTTACATTGTTAATACAGAACCTTTAATGAACAATGACGTATTGCCATAGTCGGCTTCAGGCAGGGGGGAGGGGGAGGCCATCCCCTAGAAACTTTAGGGGACGTCCCCTTCCCTGGAAAACTAAGGGGAGTCCTGTCCTTCCCCCTTAAAAAATGAGTAACGAAAGAAGAGAGAGTAGGCAACTTAAAGCCATTTAAGGAACAAATTCAAAATTTTGCTTGCCTGTGGCCCCATTTGACTACTAAAAATGAATATTTTTATAAAAATTCCCTGTAAAAATGTTCAAGGGGAAGGGGATTTTTTACCCGTATCACTTTCTCTCCCCTCCCGATATATACATATTTAAAATGTGCCCCCCCCCCCCCCAACTTTAAAATCCTCTCCCTTCCTTCCAATTCAGCATTTTAGTGTTAAAGCTTTATACAAATATTCTTTTTATTTGGATCATCCTGTTAATGTCTTATGGTCTTAAAAATTACTCTCAAGAAAAATGTGTTAGAAGTAATGTTAAACATTTGAGGGCAACATTCTTAATCTTGACATTCCACTATTATAAATAACGGACCAATTGAACATCTGTGACAATATTATTTTCATAAATCCCCCCCCCCCCTACTGTAACATACAGATTGACCTTTGAAAGTAGAGTACATGGCCTGTACAAATAGTTAAGAATCACTCTATATACTACAACCTCGTTGGTTACAACCTTAGAAGATTTGACATTTATCAGTTTCGTAACCAGTGCTTGGGATCCGGATCCGTTGGATCCGCAAGATTTTGGCTTCCTGGATCCGGATTCGCAAAAATATGCAGATCCACGGATCCAAGGGATCAACCTATAACTGCAAAGACACTTACTCATAAAACCCAAATGTGAACTTTAAAAAAAGAGATTATAAAAATTTCATCATTTCTGAATGGTTCATCAAGTTTTAGGATAAAAATAAGCGGGAAAAAAAATTGAAAACTATTTTTTGTTAAAAAAATTCAGTAAATCTTAAAGAAATGACATGGATCCGGATCGATTTTTTTCCAGTGCGGATCTAGGATCCGGATCCGCATCAAAATTAAATGGATCCTAAGCACTGTTTGTAACGCTTTTTAGCTATGCTTTAGCAGCGACTTCCCAAGGACAAGGTTATAATGCAAGGAAAGATATTTCAGAGGTGTACACATCTTTTGTACTGCAGTGTACCGTCTCTGGGCGGTAAAGTGAACACAAGACGGTGTTCACAGCCTGACATGGGATCCATCTTTCACATAAAAAAACAATGTAATATTCTGGTCGTACCATACTATTATGTGAATTATCAAAATTCAATGCTTTTATCCTCCACGGATACTTTATGAATACGGACACATCTATTCTTGTTCACAGAGAAACTGGTTTCAATAAGTACGCAGAGTATACGCAACTGCAATTAACTTTCCTTGCATTATAACCTTGCCCCAGGATAGTTAATCGAGGAAGTCGCAGCTATATCACAGCTGAAAATTGTCTATTGAATCAAACACTTGAAAGAGAAAAAAATTAAGTAGTAGGAAGGAAACTAACTGGGATGAATACAGAATAAATTCTTCGCTATCGTCTTTAAAGTTTCATTCTTTGTGAATAACCCGTTTCTCGGACCAAAAATAAAGTTCCTGCGTCGCGCAACTTAAAATTCCATTCAGCATTACTTCATAGATTCAAGTCACCTTCAGGATAATAATGGAGTGGAATGTCATAATTACATTACCCTTGATAAAAAAACCCTTTCTGAATATGAAAGAATGAAAGATTATGAGCGTACAGGAACAACCAGATAACTCTGGAATAGGAAGCCGACTTTTTAACTTCAATTATGACATTTAATGGTCCACAATGCACGAGACAATTGTGCAGTGTAGACAGCCACATTTCACTTAATAATTAACTAAAATTAAATGCAATTTGCTTTGTAAGAAATCAAATGTGCATCGTTAGTGCTTTTAAGTAGCCTTCCTTTTCAACAATTTTCTGGGGATCACTGTACTATTCACAATAAGCGTAAGTATTTCAGTAAAGATGGTTATTGTTGGTCCGGTATCAGGAGCCAGAAAAAATTGGCCTTTTTTAAGTGTCGATAACTTTCCCGTCAATATAAGATATGGTACACAGCTCTGAATTGTTAAAATTGAGTTACTGTTCCTATACGTCATCACAAACATGACAAATAATAACGCCTGCCTTTTTTGGCTGGTCCACCACGGGATCTGGTAACTTATCCGCCATTATTTAATTTCTGAAAGTTTAAAACGAAATTATTGAGGAACACATCCTTTATTGACCAGAATACTGCACAAGACGACATTTAAAGATGTTGATGAAAGTCGTCTTCACAGCAGCAAATGTCATCCTGAGTTTACTTCAGCTTCTTCTTGGGCCTCAGGTTGGAGGTGTGTCCACAAGCCTTCTTCCTGCAGTTAGTAGCCCTAAACATTAACGTTAAAAATTTGTATCCCGCATTTTTACTCACAATTTTTTATCACTTAGTTACTTATTTGTTCCCAGACAAAATAAGTAACATTTTTACCATCGCTAGATGTATATAAAATGGATCGAATAAACAGGGATGCATTCAAAAATCAAGATGACAATTTTGACTCTATTTTCCACCACCCGTCCAACGATACTCTACCCAAGAATGTATGTATTTTCTCTTGAAATAATTCACGAACACTTCTTCGAAAAAAAGTAAAGCTCCGCGTAAGCATACCAAACATATCGGTCTAAATAAGAAATTGGTCGAGAAAAAAGAATCCCTTCTAGAAAATTGTATTGACCGCCCCCGACCCATGAANAGACGTAGAGAGGGCTCGATAACTCCACCACGCACACGGAGAACCTAAGCAGATATTAGTTATAATATGCAGACGTAGAGAGGGCTCGATAACTCCACCACGCAGACGGAGAACCTAAGCAGATATTAGTTATAATATGCAGACGTAGAGAGGGCTCGATAACTCCACCACGCACACGGAGATCCTAAGCAGATATTAGTTATAATATGCAGACGTAGAGAGGGCTCGATAACTCCACCACGCACACGGAGAACCTAAGCAGATATTAGTTATAATATGCAGACGTAGAGAGGGCTCGATAACTCCACCACGCAGACGGAGATCCTAAGCAGATATTAGTTATAGTATGCAGACGTAGAGAGGGCTCGATAACTCGACAACGCAGACGGAGAACCCAAGCACATATTGGTTATAATATGCAGACATAGAGAGGGCTCGATAACTCCACGCAAACGGAGTATTTAAGCAGATATTAGTTATAATAGGTAGGGTTGAGAGGGCTCCATAACTATACCACGCAGAACCTACTAAGTAACAAGGCAGATTGAAATGTATTGAGTAGAAAGAGGTTTATTTAATAATTATAAATGGCCAACGAAGGAGTGACTAAGCAAAATTTTGTAGAAGTCTACAATTTCTCTTGACAAACCCCTGATTTAAGTCAGAATATACATTTGAAATAAGGGCTTGATAAATAGACGACGTAGGACGTTACAATTGACATCTATATGTAAAGAAGTAGTTCTGTTTATCGTTAGTATGTCCAATCATAACTACTGAACATCTTGACCGATTTGCCTAAAATTTTGAATAGTGAACTCAAGAGCAAAGATTTAATATGTTAGGCCTTTCGAAAAAAAAATAAGTAAGGACAATGGCTCAGAAGTGGAAGAAAAAAAGTTATTTTTGTCTTGTTTTCTTGGAATATGAAGAAGGATTCCATTTTTTTTTATTTCGGGATATCAACTAAAGTTCATTCCGGTCAAGTTTTATTGGTACCTTAGTGAATCAAGCATGCCCGTAACTACTTTAAAATTTAAATGTAAACTAACCAAGTGAAGGGTGGATTCCTTCTGAATGTTGTAATCGGATAGAGTTCTTCCATCCTCCAGCTGCTTTCCAGCGAAGATCAATCTCTGCTGATCTGGAGGGATTCCCTCCTTATCCTTAACAGAAAATGTTCTTTCATCTTTCTTTTGTTTAGTTTCTCAAGTTTATAGAATAAGTAATCCGATTCCTCAACTTTAACTTAGTCTACGTAATTCAACTATTTATTGCAATTCATAAAATTTTAAATGGGGTTGACTTATGATTTTAATAGTAGGGTTTGTTTTCAACTTGATGAGAATGACAAATTGGGTTTCAATCAGTTGATAAGAAATTGGACAAAATCAAACCGACGTTTATATTTTCTTGAAGTCATATTCTCCAATTTGTAAATGATTTTTTTTTTACTAGTTTTGGTGCCATTTTTAAATTGCTGAATGAGAAAACAAATATTTTTAAAGTAAAAATAACTTTTAATGTTTTATGTACAATTTTTATTAAAAAAAAAACATTGAAGTCCTTGGACCCGTGAAAGTACCGCTGTAAGAAAATTTGTACCTGGATCTTGGCCTTAACGTTTTCGATGGAGTCACTAGCCTCAACCTCGAGGGTGATGGTCTTACCCGTCAGGGTCTTAACAAAGATCTGCATGTTCTCTGAAACATTTACGATGAGAAACAAATTTTTAGATGCCCAAAATGAGTAATTTCCATATATAACAATTAAGGAATTATTGAAAGTTTCCACATAACAATTTTGAAAATCAAATGCAGAATTACTATAACGCGATAATTACGGTGTTCAATTTGCTGCTGTGGGGCTTTTACAATTTACAGAGTACAACATTTAAACGGAGACTCGAAACGTCTCTGCTTTGTCAATAATTGAGACGAGTTTTGTTCCGGGTCCAGTTGACGAATCAAGAACTATAACGAGTACAGCTGATGTATCTGTAACTGTACCGATTACAGCTAATGGATTATGAACGGGATCGGGATCGAGATCTTCGGCTCTTGGATTTGCTTCTGGATCTGTCCGACCTAGACCTGGATCTACGGGAGCGGGATCGAGATCGCCTGGACCTGGACCGAGAGCGGCGGGACCTCGAGCGAGATCGGGATCGGCCACGTGATTCTTCCACCAACTTAATTCGGCGACCATCGACCTCCTCTCCGTCGAGTTTGTCTAAAGCGTATTCCATGTCGCTCCTGGAGCCGAATTCGACTACTCCCTCTCCAGGGCGCTGATGATGAGTATTGGTGTAGGTTATTTCTCCAGCCTGAACAAAAATATAAAAATGTTGGAAAATTAGTGAATACTTTAATCTTCCCCCTCCTGTTCCTTATAACTACAATGATCGACCAAAAATCTCGACTGTGTGCGTCCTTATTATCAAAGTTTCAACTTGAGGGAGTGGAGGGCTCGCATGACTAAATCCTTTTGATAATTTAAGCCCTAAGTTTTTCAATTTCCCCGAAAGGCTATTTATTCTTATTTTATCTTCCCATTATTGCCGCCAGTTTTCATTTCGGAAACCTAACCGATACCTAACCAGTACCTAACCAGTACCTAACCGATTTAAGTGTAAATTCTTGAGAGTGAGAAGGGATGCCTAACCAGTACCTAACCGATTTGAGAGTAAATTGTTGAGAATGAGAAGGGATGCCTATTGAAAATATTCCAGTGTGACTATTATCTCATGTAAAAATCACAAGATTGAAAAGGTAAAGCTAATATTTAAGTGGAATATAACTAGATCTTAATAAAAATAATTTAAGAGCACTGATTTAGAAACATCTGCCATATGTTGCAACGACGTAATGAAACAAGGCTTTAATGATACGAAATAATTATTTATGATTTACCATTCTTTTTACTAAAAAAGAAAAGTTTTTTGCCCGAATTTATCAATAAAAAACATAGGGTAAATATACACCCTTGTATCAGCATTTAAATTTTTTACTTTATTAATACCTGACGCATGAAGTCCTTCAAGTCCTGCCAGGATGTCTTAGTTGACAGATTCTCAACAATCAACCTAGGAAAAATCTTATTTTATCAGTCAATCTTATCACAATGGACTAAATTAAGACGGTCGTTAAGAAAAAATTCCACGGACATTAAACCTATGACAAGCATAAAAGCGACGACAGTTGTATTCAAATTAAACATACAGGGTGTCCAAAAAAACATGGAAATTCAGTGACGAATTCGATATCGTCTTTCTTATGAATTAGCATTGTAATACCTAATTTCAAAAGCCATAATATTATACTGTCTGCTTGAGTTTATTTTATGAAAAGGGTAAAAGACTGTAAAGAAGTGTTTATAATGTCTCCGCAAGATGAACAGTGAATACGGACAAGTTTACTCTGTTTGTAACGATTCCCTTGCGTGTTCTAATCTCAGCCTACTACCACCAAATTCTCGCGAGCCATCCAAGTCCTGAATACAAAGCGTAAAAACAAATATAATTTACAAAGAAGCTATGCGCCTGATTTCAAAGAAATAAGAGAACAGTACAATTCAGTTATAATGGAATATTCAGAATCTTCATACAGGGTGTCCTACGAAACAATCTTCGATTTAAAAACCGAGGGTGAATACTGTATATTCCCCCCCCTCCAAAAAAAAAATATGGATTTTTCGTGCTGAATTGGGAAAATAAATGACATTTCATGGAAAATAATTGATTTTTGAGAAAAGTATAAAAAGATTGAAAAAAAACTCGACTTGATTTCCCATTTCATTTTTCTTTTCATTCTCAATTCTGAAAAATACTGATGTAACCCTGATTTCAGAAATTCACAAAATACTTCCAGTCCTGGCATTTCCAGAATTTGGTCATATTTGTACTAATTTCCTCGAGATATGAAGATTTTCGTTTAAAGTTTGGCAGTATCTTTTATTTACCATAATTGAAAAATTCTTAATATCTCCAGTAGTATACACAGCAAAAATGCCAGGACTAGGAGACTTGAGCTTATAGTTTCAAAATCATACTCGTTTCAGCTCAGGGTGGACAAAACTTGAAGAAAATCCTTCTTAAAAAAATTCGGAAATTTTCAAGATATTAGTAAAAGCCGTACAATTAAGGGGAAAAATCCATAGAATCCATACATTTTGTAAAATTCTGTAAAATGCGTACATTTGAAAAAAATGCGTACAATCCGTTATTTGATGTTTCGTGGGACACCCTGTGATACTTTTTGGTTCAAATATTTCGTCTGGTCCATCATGGACTTATTTTTTATTTAAAAATTAAACACTTTCTGAATACAGAAACCCCCCCATTTCTTCCATGATAGTGGTTTTGATGGTATCGTAAAATTGATTAGAACTAACCCTAACTGCATCCTCTGCGTCTCTTCCGTCTTCAAACTCACAAAATCCGTAATTGCCCTACATAGAAAATTATCAAGTAAATTAAAGATATATACAGGGTGAGTCAAAGAAGTGTGATTTGTAGCGCCTGGTGAAAAATTGTACCTTTTTTGTGCAACTCTCCTGTATTGTGTTTTTTTCCATATTTATTTAATTTGTATTTTTTTTTGGTTCTTCAATGGCCCAAAAAAACATCCTAGAACCCTTTTTTCTTTCAAAATCAAAAGTTCAGAAAAACAAAAATGTGTAAATAAATTGTTTCTATCGGAATTTAAAATTTTAAAAAGAATGAATCACAGAATCTCAGAAAATTTGCAAAATTGTAATTAGGAAAGAAAGGAACTAGAGAATTTAAATAACTTTCATTAAAAATTAGACCAGAACTAAAAATTGCGAATTTTCTTATCACAATTTTGCGAATTTTCTGTGCTTCTTTGATTCAATCTTTACAAAATGTTAGATGTCGATAGAAATAATTATTTAACACATTTTTGCTTTTCTGAACTTTTGATTATTAGAGAAAAAGGTTAGCAGATTTCTTTTTGGGCCATTGGCGTACCAAAATAATGCAAATTTTTTTTAAAAATATTGAAAAACACCATGCAGGAGAGTTGCACAAGAGATGTACAATTATTCAACAGGTGCCGCAAATCACTTTTTTTTTGACTCACCCTGTATATATAAATACATATATAAAAAGAATACAGGGGGGAGAGAGGGGTTGGTGAATAGCATTTCCAAGCTTTGAGGAAAATATTGCGTCATTATGGATTTTAAGATAAAAAAATTCAAAACCGTGAGAGAAGGTAACATTTTAACAATTAATTTTCCCTCCTTTCGAAGTTTCGACAATACAGAGGAGAGGGGATGGAGGGGTTAGAGAATAACATTTAGAAGATTTGTGGATATTAGTTAAGAATTTAAAATATAACAAAAACTAAACAAAACCATTGGTTTTTCAGGAGGAAACATTTAAAAACCTCTAAAAAAAAGTAGTAGCCGTAACCCCTGAAGAGCTTCTCAATATCACGATCCCTGATATCTTCAGGCAGGTTTCCAATATATACTTTGTAGTCGGACATCCTGACTAGGCTACCTGCAAACATACAATATCGTTTAAGCAATGATTAAAGATTTCACAAATTTGGAGATATTTCCAGATTACACCACCAGACAAAGATCTGATGATGTGAAAGTAAACCTTCGATTCCACAGTTAATACTTTGAACTTTTAATATATATGTTTAGACCATGACTTGAGTCAAAGTTACACATATAAGTACCCAGACTTGGCTCAGAATAACTGTCATGTACACAGTTATACCATGTATTAGCCCTGAGCCCCTCCCCCCCTTTGTATATTTCGTTTTTAGTCATTCATTAAGATTTAATATCTCTATAATCGCTAGTGTTCCGATAAATATAAGATAAGATGTTTTGAAATACCTTGGGATAGCCCTAGCTAGACCCTAAAAGAAGTCCTCGGAACAAAGAAGTCCACGAGTCCAAGTTAACAATACTCTAGGTCCACTATAAGACCAGACGGTCCACTGTAAGACCAGACGTTCCACTTCAAGACCAGACTTCACAAGTCCACATTTAACCGATAACTTATCCACCAGACCAGACCTTAACCCCACTCAGCGACCGAGTGAGTCCACATTAAGTCCCCTAAGTGCCGTGGAGTCCACGTTGAGTCCCCTATGTACCATAAGTTTGATAAGTCCACAATCCCAGCGTGAGAGCTTAGTCCAGATGTACCAGACATTTTTAGTCCACAAGATATATACCAGACCACCCTCAAGTTACCAGTAGTCCACTATTAAGACCAGAAACTGGAAACAGTAAGTTTGTGAACGTAAATATCGACTAAAATATAACAATTTGGCGTCTGACTGAAAAATGTTAACTTTACAAAATACTTACTTGATACAACTTTTAACTATTAAATTCTAGACTTGAACAAAAATCGTAATGTTGCTTAAATTCTACTGTATTTGAAGCCACGCAACTAGCACGAAACGATTGCGGCGGCCATGTTGAAATTTTAGCTAAAGCCTAAGCGAGCTACGCACGTGAAGCAGTTGAGGCAGGTAGATATCTCACAAAACAGTTGAGGTAGCTAGATAATTCAAAATTTAAACTTTTTTTAAATTTTATGAACAATTTAATTTCGTCTGAACATTCGCATTGAGTTTAAAATTTAAATTTTTTGGGGAAAACGCTTAAAAGATATCATCCTGAAATGTCGTCTTTCTTTATAAATTATGTTAAAAAAATATTCATCAAAAAAGGCTTTTAAAGGGACTGCACAAGTAAATTCAAGTGACCTTGATCTGATCAATAATGTGGAAGATTGTTATTTTCAAGTTAAAAGTTGAATTCACACAATTTCCCAGCCAATTGTTTCTGTATCAAGAAATCCGCAAGTCACTCTAACAGAGAAACCACAATTGAAAATTATCAATTTTTAAAGAGGATTTAATTAAAAGTCGCTTGAAATTATGCCTACATTCCCTTTTAATAAATAAATATATATTTAAAGCCAAGTTTATTTTCAAATTTACAAAAAGAAGCAAATGCATTCCACCATTTAAAATGTTTAAATTTAAGAAATTTTCCAAGAAATTTAGCAATTTAAGAAAATCTTTGCAGTATGAAGTTTTCCTAGAATAGAAGGAAGATATAATTGACGCAGTTCGCCCTACCATATGATTACATGCTTTGCAGACGGGTACTTCATTTGAACAAGAAAAATTTGTCCTATGTACATTTATTGCATATACAATAACCTATTCTAAATATTTAAATTACAAATGGAGTACCCGTCTCTGCAAAGCATATTTAATCATATGGGTGCAGTTATGGGTAAATTCCTAAATTCCCCTCCCTAACTGGGAAACAGTATAAAATGAAGGAAAACAGGGAGAAATCCCCTATACCCTTCTTCCTACAAACATCCTTATCTCTCTCCTATACCTGCTCCACAACTCGATGTTAAAAGAACTATTTGGAAAGGCCTTAAAGTGTAAAAACAAGAAATAAGAAGCAAGAAGAAAAAATTAATTGAACAGAAAATAGTGGAAGGGAAATATCTTGACAGTAGAGATGGGTGCTTGCAGCTTAAAGCAAGATAAACAAGAAAGAAGAAGAAAACTTTGAACAGGAAAAATTAGAAGGGGATTTAAGCTTTACAATATCTACTTTTTTCACCGATAGCGAATAAAGACAAATACATAAGATAGCAGATGTCCCAAGCAGCGCTCAGCCCAGAATGTCTTATTCTAACCTAACCCTAAATATACACCCATTTTGTTGAAAATTGTTGAAATTGAAGGCTGTCCTGGCCACAGCGCATTGAAATTGCCCTAACCTAACCTAACCCTCAAATAGTACACAATAAATATTTTTTGGTTAAAAGTAGTTTAAATTTTGGCCATGTAATAAATTGATAGGACCTGGTGGCCTCTAGCCTGTCCTAGCCGCAGGGCTTGGCCCAGAAAGTGTCCTAACCTAACCTTAAATATAAAAATTGTTAAATAAAATTAGCTAGTAACTAAGTTACTCGCGAATTAATCAATCATAATCACATTCACTAAACATCAGATCAGTCTGGTCAAGCGCGCAACTAGGGGGGGCATGGCCACCCTAGCCTGATTAAGGGGGCATGCGGCATGCCCCTCCCTTAAGAAGGCTTGCCCCCTCCCTGTTATTTAGCGATTTATGAATTTCTGGTATTTTTAGATATTTTCACTATCAGTTCTGCCACTTATTATAATATTGCATAAATGACCTATGTTCATGCGAATATCATGAAAAAATTCTGACTTAAATTTCGTATTAATGCGAAATTTCGTCCAAAAAAATTAGTTATTTTGAATGAATGCACCTGTTGTGCAAGAGAATTGACTGTTTCGTGGAAACCCTAACTAGAAGAACTGGTACAAGTAAGCATTACACCTGGCACAACTTCTACTTTTGAACCTTTGAGGACGGGGCAAATTAATTAAGCCTGTATGGTTTGATGTATATATTGGACGTATAGGCGCTATGGGGGAGGCTTGAATAGTTATTTATTATCTTGTAAACATATGTAAAATTGAGTAAATAAAGTATGAATAGATTCAATCAGTTTTTTAATCAATAATTTTATCAATATCTTAGAGAAAAAATTATTATGAATGAAAGGAAGTAAATAATTAGGTTATATTATCACTGAAAATACTTGTGATGTATTTTTTTAGACTTATATGTTAGTTTCAATTCTATCCAATACTTTACTTATAAAAGATATTTTAATATAAGAATATAGAATTTAAGGTTTTATTTTTGAACAATCTTTATGCAAAAAGTCATCCATTTATTTCTTGCACTCTAGGTGTTGGGACATTTCGTAAATAAGAAATTGCTTGAGTTGGCCAATTTTATGTAATAGTTCAGACAAAGTAAAAGTTAACGTTTTATCTATGTTGCATTTCGATTTAAAATTTTATGGTTTGGTTTAAAAATTATATTCTTTGATTTGGCCGCCTTTAGGTAATTCATCACTGTTTAACTCTAGTTCATTTCAAGTACCAGGCCGACTTTTAGTTAGCTAGAGAAAGCTGTTCAGGTCAAATACAGACTACATAACGGGACAATACGCAAAATGAAGGTTACGTGACACATATAATACCACATAATTTGTTGCTCTGTTCTTTATGTAAAATAGTGTTTAAATTGTTATATCTAAATAATTATACTGTATAACAAATATAATACATATATTGTATGCATAATGCATCTTTATATATATATATATATGAATAAGTTAATATTTGAATGTATTAAGTCTATTTATTGCCTAGAAACTCAATTTATATTCTATAGGCTTTTCAATTTGCCCTTTGTAAGAAATTATCCAATAAATTGTTGAAAATAGAAAAACATTCATCTATTTATTCGCGTCGAAATCTTTAACTAGATTAAATCCATTAGATTAAATACAAGCGTTGAAGCTAGGAAAGACATGGAAAGTTGCTGCTTGAGAAAGTGCACAGTTAAAAAAATAGTTTCCGCTTGGAAAAATTCCTTTGGGAATATAACTATCGTTTTTCCAAAAAGGCAGTTTATATAAAATTTGTCTTTCCTTAACGATCGTTAACATGATTGTCAATAAAAAAATTTTCAAAAACGATAGTTTTTTCAAAAGCGATAATTTAAAAAAAACAATCGTATAAAAACGGTTGCAAATCGTTTTCAAAAAAGATTGTTATTCGTTTTCTAAAAGTTCAAAACAAGTGGGTCGTTTTCAAAAAGGATTATTTTTTCCGAAATTAAAACTAGTTAAAAATCTTGTCTGTTTGACGTTTCAAGATTTGTGAAAATAGCTTACAACTAGCTAAAAATCTGTCTTGTGTGACGGTTTGAAATTTGTGAAAATACCTAACATCATTAAAACTAGTTATAAATCTTGTCTTGTGTGACGGTTCAAAATTTGGAAAATTACCTAACATCATTTAAACTAATTAAAGACCATGTCTTGTGTGACGGGTCAAAATTTGGAAATTACCTTACATCATTAAAACTAGTTAAAAACCTTGTCTTGTGTATTGTTTCTCAAACTTTGGCTCCGTATGCATTCAAGATGATATGTATACATCTTTGAAATTATAAAAGTATAAAATTTTCGCAAAAATCTTAAAATATTTGCTGTTCTTTTTGTGGAAGAAAGGAATCATAAATTTCTTCATTTCATTTATTTATTCAGCACTAATTGGGGAACCAAGCTTTGCCTGGAAAAAAATCTTTTTAAGAGCATTCCAAGCTCAGAACATATCCCTGTGGAAAATCAGTCAAAAAAGTCGGAGTTCTGATCGAACACACAAACAAACATAGATTGAAACTTTATATAAATAGATAATATGTAATACATTTATTCACAGAAATAATCTATCTGACAACAGGTACAGGTATTAAATAATCAAGCAAAGAAAAAAATATATAATAGATTTGACATACATCGTCTTGGATATTTTAGTCCATGATATAAAACATTCAGATTCAGACATGATAACAAGCAGTATTTTGCCAAATTCATTTTAGAAGATGCATTTTTTCATATCCAAGGCTGTAAAAAAGTATGTGTGGCTGCATGGGCCCTTCAAAGCCAATGCCAATACTTCAAAATCGGACTAATTTCAATAACTCACCATGAGTCAAAGTTTTGGTCCTTCTCCCAGCAAACTGTCTATTTTATCACTATTTGAATAATTAAACTTTTTTTTTGTTTTTTTTTTCTCTTTTATACATTTTAAATATCTTTCTATCTTAATGTTACACTCATCTATTTATCTATGGTTACACTACAATATACTAAGTTGTCAATATTGAATCAAATATTTGAAATATTTTGTGTCAAATCCATTTTTTTTTAATTTCTCAGGTTTATACTAAATACCATTTATAATACTTTTCACTTTTCTATTTCTATAAACGAAAAATATTAGTAAACAAAAGATTGATCCCACAACTGCTGAACCACCTAAACAAAGCAAAGGATCAAATTTAGCTTTTGTTTTGAAACAATTAATTATCGTGTGTTATTATATATTATTTATGGTACTACTGCAAGTATACAAAATTATACAACAATTTCATTTAAATTCTTCGTAATTAGAAATTATTAAAAAAAAGATAAATTAAGAATTTTGTATGAATATCCTTTCATTATCCAAATGTTGGGTTAATAAAAGATTCAAAATGATAAAGTAGTATATTTTTATTTTATGAACTTTACAACTGCAAATACATAATTTAACTGCAATTTCATGAAAATTCTTCGTAATTAACTAAC